TAACGGTAATCAAAAACGGTAATTAAATGTTTAAAAAAATCTTTGATCCCTAATTTGATAATTAAACTAAACATGAATTCGTGTAAAAACTGGAAATTTAAAAATCCGCCATTTTTTTCTCGCATGAGACCTTAACTTTGAGTCCGGAACATTAGTGTTGTTAACCATTTAAATGTTCCCTGCCATATGTGAATGGAATGACAAGAAGGAAGAAGCATATCAGGATCGATACACGTGGAGAATTCTATTTATTTTATGATGTCAAGTGATGGAATGGTCGCCAACACAGCAATTACCTGGACTCAGACTAGACAGACAGACAGGCTAGAAACCGGGACATCTCACGTCTGCATTACTAACCGATGGGCTATCGTGGACGGCAAAATGTATATGAGTAGATATGTGATTTAGTATACTTTAGGAATACTAAGTGCTTTGGTAACATTGTAACAGTCCACATATTATTAAATACTTCACGTACTACAACTTTTTACGACAACCCTATTACTTCAGTACATTTCCCTGTTTACAAGTTGATAGTTTGTTAAACACGCGCTTTAGTTGTTTCAACTTTCAAATTGTTACGTTCAGTACGTGTTTTTTTTTTGTGTGTATAAGTATTCATTTAATATATGGTTAGTGTTGTCTTTTTTTGCACGTTTTGTCTATTCATCACAATAAATCCCTGCTCTATAATACTTCTCGGATTAGTTACATGAGCTTCACAAATACCACCACGCAAGTATCCTACCACGACAGGCAGGGACTTTAAACTTGTAAAAGAAGAGCTGTCGTAACGTAGTGGGAGAACGGTTTCTTTTCAATTGTGAACAGTCGATGTTTCGAAGTGCGTCCGGAGTTAGGTAATGTATATTTGTGTGTGTGTTTTTATTTAGTAGCATTACTCTTCACCAATCGTGGTAAAATCTGCACGTCATAGAAAATATATCCGTTTTGAAAACGTAAGAAGACCTAAATCCGCATTGCGTCAGTGAGGTGTACTATTATCTATATAGTCCGCGTTATATTTTATTTTAATGATTCCACACAAGTATTTTAACGGGCAGATGAGCGTTCAAAAGAATCATATAACTAATTGTCGCCTTACTTTCTCAAACTCGTATGTTAAATCACAAAGTAACTTCGTCTTATCCTCTCGATACTTCTTTTACTTTACGACTATATTGTACCTGAATAGTACGTTGCTACTTTGACTACGCTGTCCGTGGCCGCGTGAAATCTTCGCTCGTACAGGTGTTAGGACACAAGGGGCACAACAACAAGTGCTGCATGGACTGCGTTGGGGCACCGCAGTCACATTGGATTTGACTAGTATCCTTGAAACATTATTTGCTCTTGAGGTACGATGAAACCAGGTGGTGGGGGATTTTTCCGTTTCCACAATGCACACCTAGTAACAGTTGGATGGTCACTCCACTCGTAGTAGCCTTTGTGGTGCTCAAGAAACTTTTACGGCTTTTGAGGCAAGCTCGGGGAAATTAGTGGCCATATAAAGGGTGTAGACTGTTACTCTCTTGTTTGTACTTCTCCGCGGAGCATACTACATCCCGACGCACGTATGGTGGTGCAATACCTGCTAGAGGATATACCATATTGAGGAGAGTTGGCTTGAGACAGCCGGTGAGCAGGCGTACTGTTTCATTAAGCGCTACGTCAACAAATCCAGCTTCATACAAATTTTGCAGGCTGATTTCTCATCACAATTCCTTCATATTCACACACAGGCTTTTACATATTCTTAACGTAATGCATCCAATTAACACCCTTGATAAGAAATTTAAAATAAATATAAATTTTTGCCGTCTCCAGATTAATCACTCTTTGTAAGAAACGGGTTTAAGAAAGTAAGGTATCGTAATGACATTAAATTTAAATTAAAAATTAAAAAAACGATACAAAACAGCAAACTCTTGAAAATCAAGTCGAAATCAATTCAAAGAGCCCAAATACGACAATCATGACAGGAATCAGGACATTGTGAATCAGGACAGTTCCTGATTGCAGTATCCGATTACTTGTATATTATACGAAATTTCTAGACGATCGGACAAGTGGAAGTAAAATAAACAATTATTTTAAGGCTGAGATTCACCTCTCTCTCCCTACACTAAGAAAAGTATATACATACTTAATGATCTTTAAGCAACTAAGGACTTTGAACCGTTTTTATCATAAACGACATAACGTTGAATTTAAATTGAAGTGTCTCGTTTGACGTGCTTGTGAGATTCTCTTGAATTCTCTTTAGCGAAGAATGCCCTCGATCTTTAAATTTTTCCAAATGAGATCTATAGTTCATTATTGTTCTATTATTGTAACAAAACAATACATTTATTTCAGTTCATTTTGCACGTATTATTAGCAAAGCCACCAATAAACGCATGGTATACAATAATACGTGCTTTAACAACAGCACCTGTGGTTTTTAAAATAACTTCCGTCTGTTTCTAACTTAGTTGTCAGTAGTATAAGTAGTGTCACTAAATAGTCTAACACATAAAACAATAGAATAAACAAGTAATATTCATCTCCCATTCATAGGAACCAATAATAGACAAAAGCACCGTTTGTCCAAGAAAGATCAGCTATGACTTAAATAACCCTCCAACATTTTTTTGTGATACTAATAAATAAATGGGACGAATAAGTCATGCACCTGATGGTAAGCGACCCTGTCCACAACAGTTGCAGTGCCGGAGCTTTAAATCGTAAAGATCTGAGGGGCACTGCCGCTGCATAAATCACCCTGAGACATAAGTTAAAAAGTCCTATGTGCTTGTAATTTTGACGACCTCCGTGGTCGAGTGGCTTGCAGACCGGTTTTCATGGAGTCGCCATCTCTAAGGTCCCGGGTTCGATCCCAGGCCAGGTCAATGTAGAAACTAACTTTTCTATATTGTCTCGGGTCTGGGTGTTTGTGGTAACGTCGTTGTTTCCGATTTCCATAACACAAGTGCTTTAGCTACTTACTTTGAGATCAGAGCAACGAATGCGATGTTATTTAAAATTTAACATTTATTTAATTTCACCAGTACCCTTATCCTTTACAACCGGAACGGGTGACAGGACGGGGATAAGGTGACAGGACTTCCCTGGACGAACTCTTTCACAAGGAGCTCTACAGCTCTACTTTATCACAGTGTAAAATTTTTCAATCAGAACTATGGTGGTTAAAACTGAGCCTATAGATGATATAGGCTTCTCAAAAATACTTGCATTATTAATTAACGTTTATTAATTAATACATCATAACTTTTCGTTTAGATGTTTAGGCTTTCGTGATTTTTCAGTAAATTATTATCACTATGAGGTTTCTTTTTATTTTCCCTATATTTCGGAACGATTACACGCTCCATGGTCACGGGTTGACAGATCAGCGGCAGATGACAGTTTTAAGAAAAGACAGATCTGTATACCCTGAAATTACAATGAAACAGAGAAGTTGCTGGAAGTTGTTTCATAATTATTTTTATATAGATAACCATTAATTTATAACTACTAAATATTTTATTGTTAAATATATCTCCTTTTAAAGAAATTTGCCCAAAAAGATGCCTAAAATACAGGTGCACATTTACTTAGTTTAGGCATCGCAATTACACATTAGGTTCTAGTATGTGTATGTATATGTATAGCTTTCCTATGAAGAATGTATAATTTAGATTCCCTTTTTAATGTTTATTTAAATACTATAATAGCTTTATTTACATTTGTTTTACTTGTATTGTATTACATTAAGTTATATTGAAATAAATTTATTTTATTATTTATTTACACTCTTTCGCTATCTACAACTATCTCCAGCACGATTATTTGTGGCGTTACCATTGTCACTCACTTTTTTCCAACAAACCCACTGTATGCAAACGCGAAACTGATATAAATAACATTTCATTATTGAAATCGATGATTCTATGGCTTGTCTTTGTATCGGAGTAGGGATCAGTATGCTTTAACGATTATACCGGAAAAATACAGTCAATTATTTTGAATCCAGTTTATTGTGTAATACGCTAATGCATTTTGTACAATTTAACGACCAATTATGTTTTTGTGTTCTAATACAATTTTTTTTATAATATTAATGGAATAAACTTCCAGTTATTTATTAATACAAAAACATCATCCGTGTTTAACAAATCTAATCAATATTTTAACTGCCTCTGTGGCCGAACGGTTCCCAAGCTGGACTGCCACGCAGAGATCCCGGGTTCGATTCCTTGGCCGGGAGAAATATTTGTAAGGGCTACTTTTATTTCTTTCGTGAGTTTGATTGTAATATGTGGTTGTCTATGTGTGTGTCCATGGCACCCGAGATACGGGGTGAAAAAGGGATTCCCTAGTGGGGAGCTATAAAAAAAAACTCATAAACTTCAATAAAAAACAACTTGTTATGTAATTTTTATTTCTCGTCATTATTACCGCAAACGACCACCAGAAAATACAATCTGGAACACGTTAATCTCAAGGCTTATAATACGTAAAGCAAAATCTAAGTACAAACTTAATTTATCTACTGTTCTATGAGAACGCAAAGCGATAACACAATTACGGGAAAAATAACAAGTACAATTATTAATTCATTATCTTTATACGATTGTTATGTCAGAATGAATAGTTATAATGCTTTTTGGTGAATTCTTGAACCATTTATTGCGAATGGTAAACTAAGTTTTTTTTATTAAAATGTTTGTATAAAGATTTTTAAAAACATTCACGGCAAAACCAAAGTAGGTACCTAAGAAGCTGATAGTAGCGTAAGACCCCATCAGTGACCTAATTCACTCTATCTCTCAGAAGCTCTCAGAAGATCTAAGATACGCTATAGAAACTACTTCTACCAACCCGTAGCTATACCAACATTTATTGATTTTTCAGGGAATAACAACTGAACATCAAAATGAAACGTAAAAAAACAGTTTGCAAATATTAATCTGACAGACCACACGAAATTAAAAATTAATCCTCTTTTATTTCAGATCGCACAGGCGCCAATAAAGACAATTAAAGCAAAGGATGTAAGAAAATCGATCGACTTATTCGTCATGTGGATGAACTTATCAGTGCAATCGATTAATCGATGTTAAGTGCTTTCATCCTGTTACTGAAACTGCTTAACAACGTTGACTTACAGTGAAGTGAAAACTACCGGATTTTCGTATCGAGCCACGCTCGTCATATCGGCTTTTTTAACCTTGGTAAGTTCCTTTCCTTTGTAATAAACATTCTTAGCTTAATTTACCGAAACGTGAAGAAATAATCCAAGAAAAACAATTAAACAAAAAGTCTCTCCCGTGATTTTGCGCGTTAAAGTATTTAGAAACTCGAGGCGCATAAAATTAGCTCTTTTCAATAACAATCTATTTAGTTGATTTTTTTTAAACTTGACACTTACCCAAATGATGCCATGCCTACATACACTAACCATGCGATGCCTACATTTTCAGTAGTAGTTACATGATCATTTTATTACGTAGTCTCTAGCAATTTGAACTGTTTGTTATGTACAATCCGTACGGGAGCTCGGACAAACCCTCCACTATCTTCTTCTCATCGTGTCGATGGCATACACTGTGCTAATCCAAAAGTTACTGTGGTCCAAAAGTTACTGCCGCTGCCCGCGTCACTAGTTGCAGCGGCCATACTAAAGTATAGGACATGTTTGCCATCGTGATGAAAGGATTTGCCAATAGGCGTAACTTACTAGCCGATTGTTGGCCAGGTTGCGCCAGATATACAGGGGATATGAATAGTACGCCACTGCGAGGAGGCCTCTTTTTTTCGTGCACCCCATTCGGGCTAAATCTTGAGACATGCATAGTGTTTAGTTCCTTCTAGCACGCATTTTCTCTCCGTTACTAAGGCTCAATTTATATAAACGGAAAAAGCGATTTTTTGTAATGATATTGTTCATGCTCGAGAATGCTCGCGCGTTCCGCGAAAGACTTTAGCTCGTATCTAGTTTTTACGTTACACAATTGACCATAAAGTTCATTATTCTATATACAATATCGTTACAAAAATTCTCTTCCATTCCGTTCCGCTGCAATTTAAATTGAGCCTTAGTGGTCACTTCTCTCCTTCTTGAGGTATAACCGTACATGACACCTTGTCTTTTCTATTTCTAGCTTGCGCCGTGGAAATTATACTTAAAAATAGTCGATCGATTTCATGTCGATGCTGTAGACCTAGCGACTAATGGAAATAATCTAGAAGAGAATAAGATATAGTAAAATTTAATTAAAATCAACAAATGCTAAATGTTGAAATATCAAAAATATGATACAAATGTCTTTTTAATTCATGTCTATGTGTATTTACACAATGTCAATGAATCACACAATATTTATGAAAATTACATTCACTAAATAGCGTGCGTCAATTGTAAACTCATTATAAAATCCGTTCTTCTCTAATAGTATGCGGAACATATTTTTTTTTACATACACAAAAGCATAAAAACTGAGCTTTAAGTTTTTTTCACCTATGAAACTTTAACATACACGTATCGTACACGAATTAAAATAAAGGTCTTTTTTAATAACAGCAAAAACATCATCAGGAAGAAGAATCTTATATGCTCATCAGAGTTAAATAATAATACTGCGATTAAAATCAATTAGTTTTATCTAACCTTCGTTATGAACCATGAACCTGCCAAATTGACGGACGATCTGGTGAAGATGGCCAGACGGGACTATAATACAGATTCAGCATTGATGAGCACTAAAAGTGAAAAATATATGTTTTTTTTAGATAGTAAAACAGTACCAGATGCTGGAGTAATTCAATATTTAAAGTTTAAAATTGCAATTTTTGTGCTCACAGTCAACTTGTTTAGTTGGTCACCAAACTAGTCGGTCAGGCTCTGTTGCGAAAATATGTAACTTGGTTATGAATACAGTAATTATCGAATTAAAATTGTGCAATCGAGAATTTTATTATGTTATACGCAGCCTGCACTAGTTCCCGCGCAAAATGACAGTGCTGCCAACTTAACGGTTCATTTGGGAGGGAAATTTTTCATAAATTTAAATAATATTTGTGAGTAAATGAGAAGAAAGTATGCTGCCATTGACTTATGTATGCTGCAATAATTTTAAGTACAAATTAAACAGAACCATAAGCTTGTTACGAAGAAGTTTTCTATTATTGCTATACATAGGAATTTTAGCATTTAATTCGTAGAATAAATAATTATGTAATCTTGATTTTTGATCTAATTTTATTGGATGATCTTCGATGTTGTATGTACGGTCTGTCTGTACAATTCAGTCAGTCAGTCAGGAGAAGTCGTCTGGGTGGCTGGACGCGACAATGTACTAATCATGATATTATGATTTTGACGCGAGGATAAAATAAACTGGTAGTTCTTAACAATAGTCTTCACGGATTCATTTACGGGGCAATGTATTTGTTCTTCTATAACAAGATTTCTGTTAACTTACAAAATTTGCCATTAAAACTATCTTGAAATAAAAACTTTCTTATACAAAGTTAGAGGTTCTTGTTACTTGTATGATTAAAATCTATGGAAATGATCCGTATGGTTTTTGTATGTTATTTCTAATAAAATACTTTTAAATGAATGATTTAATGTGCAGAAATCAAGTATTAATGTGCAAATAACCTAAAAAACAAACTTAAAAAAAAAACTTTTGTATGTGTACAATGAACTGTCCTTCTCACGGTAATCTGCATTACGAATGAATAGTATCTATATTTGATCAAAACTATTATTATTTTTATTATTAACAAAATTTTTCGTCCTTCAGGATCGGTTAAGGCGTCTAAGCCATACTGCCAGATCTTAGATTTTATTTTTTCTTGCTAATATTTCAACTGTCATTTGTTTACCTATGATCATTTTTTAATTTATTTCATGACCTTGGATTCGTGTCCTTCAGTCGAAATGTTAGAGAGATACAATATAATGTAAAGAAATATGTAATGAAATTACTGAAATACAGGTACTCACTGAAACTAAATATTTAGATCGCCAAGACACTATAGCACAATAATTAAGTTTTTTTTTATTATTATTTGTTTTTAATATCATCATAGCTTCCCTTACATTCACTTTACTCGTATTTAGAATTAGATATAATTGAATTAGTTTATCTTTATCTAATGTAAAAATAATAAAAGTAATAGCATAGTATATTTTGAATTTTGAATTAGAATGTGCTTCAATGCCTCATTCGACTGCACATATAAATTTGCGCGTCGTGAAAATGTCATCTGTCACGATGATGGGGCTGTTCCGGCGTGGTTTCCGTTATTGAACCAGTGCCCTTGGACACACACAATTTAATAGCCAAGGTCGGCGGAAAAAATACGAGTATACTAGTAAATGAGCGGACACGTGTAATGTCTTGTTGTAAGGTCTTGGGCCTAGCAAGAACCGGGTATGCCGTAAAAGAAAAACTTAATAAATAACATTACTTGTTTGCTATGCCAGCTACTTGAGCTCAAACTTTCAAATTAAACTTAATGTACGAAGTTTAATTTGAAACTTATCTATGAAGGTAATTATCGTGATGAAACCTGTACGTTAAAGAAGGTTTACAACCCTCGGAAGACGTGAAATCCCCAGCCCGCATTGGGCCAGAGTGGTGGATTAAACCCTCGCCTGAGAGGAGATCCGTATCCAGCAGTGAGACGTAAAAATGGGTCGATGAAGAGTTTTTAATTGATACGTAATTTTCATATTTTTTGCAGATCCTATATTTCACCGTATTTTTTTCTTATAATATCAAGTGCCACGAACAAGTCGTGCGCCTGATAGTAAGGTACGCGCCTGTCCGTAATAATTGCAGTGCCACTCAGAGCTTTAAATCGCATAGAACTGAGAGGCACTGCCGCTGTTGCCGTCACCCTTGAGACATAAGTTGACAAGTCCCATGTGCCTATAATTTCACCAGCACCTTTACGCTTCAAAACGGGAACACAGTAATGCTGACATTACTGCTTGGCTCCAGAAATAGGTAAGGTGGCAGTACTTCCCTGGACGAACTCTTCCACAAGGAGCTCTACTGCTACTAAAATTTTGCGATATGATTGTGTTTTAGGATCTTGATTCTGATTCATTAAAAAAAAAATTATAAAATGAAAAATACTCGATAATTATCAAATTAACGATTGATTAGTAATAATGCTGTTGTCATTAAATTACATATCAAATATCATTTCTTCATCAAGAATCATCATAACCTGATAACAAATACATAACCCGAGGAAATAGAAAGAAATAGTACAAAAGTAAGTCAATTAGATAAAAAATAGAAAATACTTAATAGCATTACTTTTTTAAGTCCATAAATTCATTCACAGAGTATAAAGTGTATAAAATTGTACAGAATATTTCATACATCAATCAACTATATAGACGTTTAATAACAACTTTAAATGCTGAATAAAAAAGAGATGGATTCTAAGCCTTTCGTAAACACCACAGACCAAATAAAACCAATAACATGTACTTTTCCTTGGAACGCACTTCATCTTCCACAAATGCAATTCAAAAATTTTACGATCAACAGCTCAAACGATAACAGCACTCACGCACTCGGTGTGTGGTCAGGACACAAGTGCATTGTACCGAGAACAGTCCCGCGACTCCCCGCGTAGGCGCGAGCGAAAGTGAGGGTGTGCCTTTAGATTTATGTGGACACACCACGGCCTGCTCGTGATGGATTGAATGGAATAATTTTGTTTTATGCCTTTATTATCACTTTGGTCTGCTCTGGAGGAAAACTTCATCGTCCTATGCCATTGACTTACAATTATATGGACGTCGGGTCCGCGCTAAAAAGTGTCCGAACTTATAGGGCGTTAAAATCGTATACAGAGCGTCATTCACGCTCTAGTCTTCGTTTGTTCGACTGACAGCGAAGCAAGCAAAATTAGACAGTATTGTGATGACATTACAATTTAAATTCAACGTTTTAGCTTTTTCATATTCCTTGACATGTCACTACGTTTAAATAGGTTGACTTGGGACATTTTTTTCGTGGTTTTTGTATTAGACCCGTCGTCCATTTATTTGTAAGTCAATGTCCTATGCGTATAATATGACTACATTTAGTTTTATAATTCTAACTTTGAAATTCAAACAAATCGTATGCCTGATAAGTTAAATTTGTAAAAGGAAAGGCCAGCGCAAACTGGCAGACAGATAACAAAGCACATTAATTTT